GGGGGGGGGGGGTAGAGTCAGCTGTCAAAATAGACCAAGCTCTCCTCCCCGCACCACCGGCTCAGCTGTGACAGCGAGTCAGGCTGGAGAGCAGTACAAGCAGCCAGTTTAATTTTTTTATTAACATTTTTTTTATAAAAAACACAATCCCCGCTCCACCATATATTATACACATGCAACAGTGTGCACCATATTGTTATAGAAAGCAACGCAGCGCTTTATTATTTTTTTTCTTTTTAAAATAACATTAAATTTAACTGTGTGGCAGCGCATGGCAAAGTGTTGTGATACACTGGGGTTGATTTACTAACCTTATAAACACACCACGAAAGTGTATACACCTCTGCAGTGTGTTCCCTCCCAGCATGATCTATGGGTGGAATCTAAACACCTTTGTAATGTGTACACACCCAGCAGGTGTGTTGTGGAAAGCCCTGAAGGAATTCCAAGGTGATGTTGGGTAAATTAGCTCTATGTTGTGTTGCTTGCGTTGATGAATGCAAGGAATGTAAATGCATGAACTAACCATTTTTGTCTAAACTGTGAAGCAGCATTATATATGCATCATGTGCATGATTTTTCCATATATGACATTAGTGGAAATATGCTTTTAGAGACTTTTTGGTTGATAAATACGTTTTGCTGTGTGAAAATCACACACACCTGGTGTGTGTGTGTGTTTAGGTTAGTAAATCACCCCCACTGTGTTGTGATTAAATGTACGCCTGTATCATTTTATTACAACACACACAAACACAGCGCACAAACGATCTTTAACATAAGTTGCTTATTTAGTTTTGCGTTCCTTTTTTTTTTTTATTGTTTCACAAAAAGGTGCAATTTAAAATTTACAAATATTTGTTACTTATTAACTCACTACCGTTTTATCTTTTAGATTTAGTCAGACAAGTTGTTTTTTTTGTGCACTGATCCTGATTTTAGTGTGCTTTTATCAATTTGTGTATTTATTCGGTTCAATATTGATTTTATAAACATTTGCGCAATTATCGCAGGACCTAAAAAATTAGTAGCACCATCTTTTTATTCTACCAGGCCTGTGCTTTCAGAAAATATATGGTTTGGGGGGTCTTTTACAAACTCTAAAAGCTGCAGTTGAAAATAAAAAAAAAAAAAAAGGTGAAACATTGCAAAAACGTTGTGGCCAGCTGAAGTTAAAAGCATTCCGCAAGGCTTGCCAGTGAAAGGGTTAAGCTTTACCAAGGTTACCAACCATTTACCAAAACTTGCATTTGAAACCATTAATACTTAATTTTTTTTCTCAGCACAAGTAGGTTGGCTAATAAAATGCACAGGATGATTTTTCTATAGTGCTTTACTTTTACATCTCAAGTTGTCCAAAAAAGCCATTAAGTTGAGAATACTCACACATCAGGGTATGTTTCTGGACACTTCACCCATAGATCCAGTTTCACATGACACTCATTAACCTGAGGACGTAAAGCAAGAGTAACTTCTGGAGGTTGTTGTACCTGAAAGAACAAAACATAAGGAACTGTGCTATAGCAGCTGTCACCATATAGTGTATACACTTTCTCAGATCACTGATGCTGCTGCTTTTATTAGAGCCCGTGATCACAGTTTTGGGTTCTGTCGATCAGCCGTGCTTTAGAGTGGGAGGTTTCCGAAATCATTCAGAATTCATTGGCAGGTGCCATTCAACTGCTTCAAGCGTTTTTTGTATTCCCATAGGCTTGTATAGGGACTGACAATCTGAATGCAAATAAACGCATGCGTAGGACATTATATGTGTGTGTTGAGTGCTGCCCCCATTCCACTATGTGCCATATTGGGGTATTCGGGCAGCAGAACTCTCTTACACACACAATGTGCATTAAAGGGTAAGTTCACTTTGCCAGGTAATTTGGAAAAATTGTATTATCCGATCAAAGATGGCCTCTCCTCCCCAAACCCCCCAGCGAAACTTCCCTTTCGGCGAACAGTCCTTTCCCTCTGCCGTGCTGCTGTCCAGCGCAGCCCTGTGCTATGCATTTTGAATTTCCCTCGTAAATTGCGAGCACTCGTTAGTCAACGTGGTCAGATGACCACACTGACCAATGAGAAGCACTTCTTAACACGGTTAAATATGGTTTTGATTAAAACAATTTTTTTGTATCAGGACAAGTAGATCATCATGAGGGACAAGTAAATTGGCCCCTGCTTTAGCCCTTGGGCAAGTAGTTTGGTTTTTTTTGTTTTGATTTTTATTTCCACACCCCTGGTATACCTTGGTGCTATGCTTACTATTGTGATATTGTTAAATGTTTTTTGCTTACTTTATTCATCTATATCTCTAAAAATTGTACCATTTTCTTTAGATCTAACAAAAGCTATGTACTAAGGGGGGTCTGGATATCAATTGAATGGACTGTTCACTCAGTAGGACTGCAACTGAGGATTATTTTCATAAATCGATTAGTTGGCCGATAATTTTTTCAATCGGCTAAAAAAAAAATACCATCTTTATTTTTTTTTAAATACACAAACTGAGTGTTACAAAGTTTACTTCAGAATAAAACAGTTTGCATGGGATTGCAGGTTATCACACTGTGGGCAGCCGGAGCATTTCAAATGCCATTGAAATTAATGGCACCACAACACACATCCCAGAGCAGAATTTTCATGCCAAAACGAAAAATGAGGCTTGCCACTAAATATTTGGGGGAGTATTTTTTATTTTATTTCATTGTATTTTTTACCTTATTGCTATGCGATAGCACATTGGAGGCAACAGATTCTCTTTAAGGTGACATTAACTGTCTTTTGGACCCTTGGTGTTCCCTTTCCACTTCACTGGAGAACGGCAGCTGAATAACAACACAGCAGCAGTGGCTGGAAGCAAGAGCCAGCCTGCTATTGGCTATTGCAATTTAAAATAGCCAATAGCAGGCTGGCTATTGTTTGCAGCCGCTGATGGGAGACTTGATGCTGGCTTTCAACAGCTGGCAGAAGAGGGGGCATGGGGGAGCAGCAGGGGCATGGTGGGAGCAGCAGCACAGGAATGGGGTCATCGGCGAAGGGACGTGGGCAGCGGCTGAAGAACAGCGAGGAACAGGGGGCACAGGTGGTGCAATGCAGAGGTACAGCTGTCTCTCCTCCCCGCTGGTGCGGGCTGCAGCGGTCTGTGTCACAGCTGCCTCTGCCGATACCAGCGGGGAGAGCAGCGGGGATTGAAAGGGACACCGACCACTGCAGCCGGCACCAGTGGGAAGGAGAACGGAGGAGCAGAGTGGCGGCAGCTGTGAACCAACTAATCGATAATGAGATCCGTTAACAACGATTCTCATCGATTATAATCGATTTTATCGATTAGTTGTTGCAGCCCTACACTGCAGCCCTCACACTACATGAGTGTTGGTAAATCTGAGGGAGATTATACAATCAGACCATAAGGCCCCATTTACACCTGCAAATGGGGCTGAATGCATGAGTCTCACACATTCTTCAGTTGTTTTCAGTACTTTTAAATATCTGGTGATCCAGCCATAAGGGTTTTGTTCAGGCAATTTGTCTTATAGGATTACAACTAATTCTTAATTGTGCTCCTGCATTGTCAAACTGCCACAAGCTCCCTTGACACTGTTGACACCATAGGAAAGACGGTCTGGAGCCATGATGTGCAGACAAAGCTCTAATGTGTACATGTAGACAGAAAGTTGCTGTAAGATCAGTGGTACAGACATGCAAAGGAGGAAAAAATTAAAAGCCATAATTTATTAAAATATTTTAGATATCTGACATGCAGTGCTTTAGCAAATTATATATGTCATCCAGTTAATGTTTAGATCTACAATACTTTTAAATGCAAATCATAATCAGTCCAAATAGGAATGGGAGTGATTCTTGGTCATGCAGCACTAGCACCAACCATGTAGGAAAACCCTGACAGGGGAGCCTACGGATGACAATATTTTATTTTGGAAACAGGCAAAGTCACATAGAAATAGAATTAATCTGTGGCACCAGATAAAGGTGTTGTTAAGAATGGTGGACAAGCATTAGACAAATGTTTTTCACAGAGTACAGTGTATGGCCACCGTTACACTGCATTTGTGTATTTTATTGTAAATTAAGGATGGTATTTAATCCGTTTTATCTGATCAATCAAAAAAATAAATCGGCCAACTATGTAACTAATCAATTATGAAAATAATCATTAGTTGCAGCCCGGAGGCCAGGTTCACACCATTTTCCGGACCAGATCTGGAACACGGTGCATTGCATTTTGCCATGTTCCTGAGCTGTTGTTTTTTTTTATTGCTTAAAATGGGCTTTAAAAGGAGAACTATGGCATGAGTGATTTCCACTCACCCCATAGTTCTAAGCCGACCTGTGTTCCCTCACCTCTCAATCCTGTCACGGCTCTCTGCCGTGACAGGGGGAGGGGCTGGATTCCCCGCTCCG